ATAAAACGAGCCTAAAGATTATACTGTTACATTATTAGGATTTGTAATTGATCAAAAATTTGTCGTCAAAATTTTCTTTTTAATTTGTAGTGGTATCGGTTCAGGTGTTATCTCTTTTATTAAAAAAAAGACAATATCAAATTTTTTTTAGAGTTTTCAAAGAACCTTTACCAAGACTTTCTTTTTTATTCTAGCAAATTTTTTTTTAAAGATTCTATTAAATATAACTGATGTGATTTTTCTTTTTCAATTCACTTTATATTCGCCATAAATTTAGTGATATAATTATATATAAATAACGCTCGTCGAGGCAGACTCGCTAAGTCCTCGGCTGCATAACTAGCATTGAATAATATTTTCTGCTGGTGAAATCATTCACAATTATTCGTTAGTATCAAAACGAAGAATCGTTAATCACGTCAACGATTAACTATCACCGAAATCAACTAAGATTAAATAATTTTCATGAAGATAAAAACGCTATTACAAACTCAAAAACATGAACTTATACTCTTTGTTCCTCAAACCAAACCAAACGAAATCTATATTTCATGCAAAAAATAGTTGCTAGGAGCACTATCTTGAGGGTGAGGGTGAGGGTGAGGGTGAGTTTGAACATAGGATAGAAAGAGTTTAAAATATTTAATAGACATTTCATCTATCCACGACATGAAGGAATCAAATTACTTGATGTATCCACAGTGATATGCTCAGATAAGTACGAGAAACTTATTCGAAAAGATCATAAAATCAGAGCAGGACTCAAACCCACATCTTCCGATAACCGGTCTGAGAATATGGGCTGAATACCGCTCTGCACTTACGATCACCTGATATCTGAATGCTTTTCTTGTCCCTGAAGGTTTGCTCGGCTTATCGTGAATTCCTTTGGTTTTCTGTGTTGAAGTTATTTTCCCATCATACTGCTCATTTGACATTCACTCTCTAGGCACAATGGAAGTCCACAGAAATAGAATCTTCATGGATCTGTTTGCTGTTTATTTCCACATGATCGTTTGATATTACGCAGATGCATAGTTAAACTAATATACCGGTTTCGACCCTGCTGACAGGTCTCATCAGATGGCTTAAACGTATATCTGGTAGAAGAGTTATGATTATGTCGTGTATGAACAACCCTGTTACTACCAGCTTATATCAGCTACCATGACCGGCTTTGTTAGTGTCTCACTCAAGTCGATCATTGCTCTTTCCCTCATCTCTCCTTGATCTGTCCCTCAAGGCTGCGCCGTCTAAAGTCTGCTCGGATATAACCTTTGTTTTTTTCGTTTAGATGCTTTGAACTCATCATCTTCTACTTCTTCTTCTACATATTCATTGATTTGTAGTCATC